ATGCAGCATGACTTATACATATATTTATAAGAAGCATGTTGCTTCGTTTAAAGAAAAATGCTAGAAAAGGATAGATTGCTACACGTGCTTATCCACGTGATATGAATGTATACTCTCACCACGTGTAAGACTGACGATATCAACGTTTTTTCTCATTTTACACGAGACAGAAAACAGTGGGTGTTATATAAGGCACACTATTAGACTAGCGAAAATGAGACCTATTTAGATAAGGGAACAGAGAGCTGAATTTGCTGTGTACATCTTCTGAATTTTTTAAAAAGCATCTCACTTTTTTCTCTCTCAAAAGCAACCATTTATGTGATGAAGCAAGATAAATTGATACTGCCATTGACATATGCGTCGTTTTCCCACTTCGTAACAATTTACGCTAAACAGTCATCGTGATAAATATTCTGAATATCTCAATAATCAACTTTTTTTCGATGATGAGATAACAAAAATAGCATTATGAAAGAAGTTTTTGAAATCTGAAACCACAAAATGATACAATGGTTTCGCTCATGGCATTCTCGAGATTCTTAACGTATCGAATACTTGGCGAAAGATCACTGTGTTTGTACGTCTCATATTATACAGATAATTCTGGAAACCGACTTAAATCGATCACTACATAAAAGATTTTGATAAATGTATCTCTTCCGATATTTCTACAGATGAATCTTAATTTGGAAATGAAATGAATTTCAAGATGATATATTTTAGAATTATTATATTAAAGTAGTATATGTAGTTTCTAATATATTCAAGATACACTTTTTGCCAGAAAAAATAACACAACAGAAAGTGAAATTCAACTGGAACACATCACTTATGAACTAAACGAAGTCTAAAGTTTACTCTTCACTGGATCCTTCTTTGCACTCAGTCCCTCCAAAAACTTTTTCTTGTCTGTCCCATTCAAATTCATATGTTCAGCAACCATTTGCGGTGGACTGGTAGCTAGCCATTGCTCCAAACTGAATTCTTGAAATGTTGAACTTTTAAAGCATTCTAGCATTTCAACGGGTTCGTCCCCAATGTTTTCTACATAGTGAGCCATGGAACGCGGAACAATGCCAACATCGCCAGCTTGATAGTTAAATGTACGCGCCATTCCTCCCGATGCAAAAATCGTTATGCGTGCTTTTCCCCTAATAAAGTAAGACCATTCGTCCGATTGCGGATGCCAGTGAAGTTCACGAAGTGCACCAGGGTTAATGATGACGTGTGCGGCCGAAATTGTTTTTGATATTGGAAAGTTATTCGTGTCAGTGATTCGGACTTCACCGCCACTTGTCTTCACCGGTTGTTGGGCGAGCATTTTATGTGTAAAACGGTGTCGAGATGGTTTGACGTCGGACGTGATCTTGAGAGATTCCTCAATGGAACCGGGAACTTTGCCTTGAAATATATATTTTTCGTCTTT